GGGCTCTTCCTGGGGGGCTGCCCTTATAAACCAGCAGCCCGCTTGCCCTGGGGGCTTTTTCTTTCTTTCTTTTCCTTTCTTTTCTCTCTTAGGAGCCTTAGTTTGGAGGTGGGGAGGGTTGGGACCTACTGCCTGTAGGTCTCTAGGATGTAGTGCTGGGAATTTCTACCCTTCCCAGCGCTGCCAAGCAGGTAAGGAGCTGCCTCCGCTCCCCCGTCCCTAGGCTGGGGGCTGCAGCCCCGAGCAGGGCTCTGCCCTGGGGCTGGCTGCGCTCAGGAAGCGCCCCAGCACTGGTTTTCTCCTGTGAAATGCCCCAGATGAAGGACGATGTCGTCACGTAGCTCTGGGGTGGCCTTAGGGCTCAGTTCCCAGCCCAGCTGCAGCACCCCTCTGCCAGTGCAAAGAAATTCCTTCCCGGCGCTGCATCTCTTTCCACCGCGGAGCCGCTCGCTCGCCCTGCTCAGCCAGGAGGATTTCTTTGAGAGCTTCAATGGGTACGTGGCTGCTGGGATGGGCGCGGGGGCTGAGCCCTGGTCTTGCCTGGTGTTTGTCCCCAAGGGAATGCGTCCCTTGCCTGGGATGGGTTTAGGTTGGTGGTCTGGCACTGGCACTCCCAGCACAAGGCTTGCAGGGTGCAGGCTGGCATTGCTCCCCTGGAGCCAGGGCAAAGCTGATGGCCCTGGGTCTCCCCGGTGTCTCTGCCATCCGCACCATTGTGGCTGAGACCAGGCAGTGCTGCGCATCCCAAAGGCCACCAGCTCATGCCCGTGTCCCTGCTGCTCTGCCAGGAGCTTCTGCAGCGTGAGCAATGTGTTGGGGGCCAATCTGTCGGACTGCAGCTACTCCATCCCCGACCCGCAGCTGGTCCGAAGGATCGTGTCCCAGGTGGAGTTCTACCTCTCCGATGAGAACCTGGCCAAGGATGCTTTCCTCCTGAAACACGTCCAGAAGAACAAGATGGGCTTTGTCAGCATCAAACTGCTGACGTCCTTCAAGAAGGTAGGCAGCCCGTGGCACCGGCCAGCCGGGGTGGGAAGTGGCGGTCATGTGGAGGGTGTCTGGGTGTGCTCAGGCTGTCTCTGGTGGGGTGTACGGGGAGGTCCGGGCTCTGCTCAGGCTGTCTGTGTCCCGGCAAAGCGCTGGTGGTGCAGAGCTGGGCTCTGCTCTCTGCCTTCTGTGTGCTGCAGCAGCCCTCCAGCCAGGGAGGGTGGCTGGGGGAGCGGTGAACAGTCCTCAAACCACCCCAGGGCTGGATTCACCTCCTCCGCCCATGGTCCCCTGGGGCTGCTTTGGGAGAGATCATCCCTTAACAAAAAAACTGCAGGGAAGCGCTGGCGGTGTGATGTAGGGGGAAGCTGTAGCTTGTTGCCATGGTCCAAGGGGCACTGGGGACCTTCTCCTGCGAACCCCGAAGCTGCTCACGTGAAAGGGGTACATCGCCTTGCCATGACTTCAGGATGATGGGGTTGCAGCCTGCCCAGACAGTGGGTTTAGGGTGGTCCCCACCTGGGGAGACTCACGGGGACGCAGTGGCCCCCTCCCTCTCCCGCAGGTGAAATACCTGACGCGCGACTGGCGGCTCACGCTCTACGCCCTGCGGTTCTCGGAGCTGCTGGAGGTGAACGAGGAGGGCACCAAAGTAAGGCGGCGGGTCCCCATCCCCGAGTCCCTGCTGAGCATCCCCCCCAGCAAACTGCTGCTGGCCTGGGAGCTGCTGCCCCAGGAGCAGGACGTGCTGGCGCTGCTCCAGAAGAACTTCCTTGAGACCATCACGAGGATGTTCAGCCCCCTCCATCCGCATCCTGCGGCCGGGCCGCAAGCTGCCCTCGGATGTGCGGAAGTACACGTCGCGCTTCCCCGAGCTGCTGAGCAGGTGCTGCGCACTGGTGGAGTACGAGAGCCTGGAGAGCGCGCGCAGGGCCTTCGAGGACCT